TTTAGATCTAGCAGTCTTTCTTTACATTATATATGTATATACACATTATATAATGTGTATATATATATATATATACACATTTTGTCTTCTTGATGAATTAGTCCCTTTACTACTATATAATGCTCTTCTTTGTCTCTTACAGTTTTTGTCTTAAAGCCTATGATGTCTGAAATCAGTATCACAACTCCGGCCCTTTTTGATTTCCATTTGCATGGAATACCTTTTTTCCAGCCTTTCACTTTTGTTAATTGAAAATATTTTTTATCTTTTCTTCCCATATGAAGGGTAATCTTGGTGGATATGAAGGGTTGCTGTATTTTGTTGAATGATTTTCCTTTATCAGTAGAAAGATCCAAAAAATGCCAGGAGAAAAGAAATAAAAAATATTTGAGCAGAAATAAATAAAATGCAAGATAAATGAACTATACAGAAAATACATGATAGCAAAAGCTGGTTCTTTGGAAAGAAACAAGATTGGCACACCATTAGCTAGACTGATTAAGAAGAAAGCAACCAGATTAAGCAAATTCACAATGAAATAGGCAATATTACACAAACACAATAGAAATTTTTAAAAATCATTAGAGAATACTATGAGCAACTCTATGCCAACAAACAAGAAAATCTCAATGAAATAATCATATGGTTTTTATATTTTTTTCTGTTAATATAGTGTATTGCACTTATGATTTTGATATCTTGAACCACCCTTGCATCCCTGGAATAAAGCCTACCTGGTCATGATGAACAATCTTTTCTGTTATTGGATATGATTTGCAAGTATTTTGTTTATCATTTTTGCATCTATATTCATCAGAAGTATTAATCTGTCATTTCCCTTTTTTGTCATGTCTTTATCTATTTTGGGAGTGAGGTTAATGAAAGCTTCAGAAATTAATTTGGGAAGATTGTCTCCTATTCTATGTTTAGAAATAGTTTGAGTAGAATGGGAGTAAACACTTCTTTAAAAGTTTTGAAGGATTCAGAAGTGAACCCATCAGGACCAGGGCTTTTCTTTGTTGGGAGGTTATTTATTACTGATTCAATCTTATTGCTTCTTATGGGTCTGTTCAAATTTTCTTTTCTTTTCTTTCTTTTTTTTTTTTTTTTTGGAGAGGTTTTTGCTATAGGGCGTGTGTGCTTGCCAGAAAGACAGAGAGAGACAGAGAGACAGAAAGTGAGAAATCACCCCCCAGGGGCGGTGGTCACACCACAATCCCTTCTCCTCCATTCTCCTCTCGGGATCTTGGGCATGCACGCACACGCACCCAGCGTGAGTTCTAAGCCACTGGGTCCGGGACACGAACCACAGTCGACTATGTGGGAGTCCAGCAACATAACCATTACACTAACTGCTGGTTCCCCCATCTGTTCAAGTTTTCTATGTCCTCCTGGTTCAATCTTGGTAGATTATACATGTCCTGGAATTTGTCCATTTCATCCAGGTTTTCTTGTTTATTGGCATATAGTTGCTCACAGTATCCTCTAATGATTTTTTTTAAATTTCTATTGTGTCTGTTGTAATATTGCCTGTCTCATTGTGAATTTGCTTGATCTGGTTGCTTTCTTCAGTCTAGCTAATGGTATGCTGATCTTGTTTATCTTAAAAAAAACAATTTTTTCTTTCATTTATTTTCTGTGTAGTTCATTTATCTTCTATTTCATTTATTTCTGCTAGAATCTTTTTTATTTCTTCTATTCTGGCATTTTTGTTTGTTTGTTTGTTGTCAGTTCCCTGAGGCATGATGTTGTCTATTTGCCATCTTTCCATCTTTTTCTTATGTCCACCAATTTCTATGAATTTCCCTCTTAAGACTTCTTTTTCCCATAGATTATGGACTCATGTACTCAGTATCATTTGTTTCCATAAATCTTTTGATTTCAGTGTTAATTTTTTTGGTAGTTGAGTAGTCATTCAGAAGTAGGTTGTTTAGTTTCCATGTATTTCTGTATTTTTGAGGATTTTTCCTGAAATTAATACCAAATTTAATTCCATCATGGTCAGAGAAAATGCTGGATATAGTTAGTTTCTATGCCTTTGAATCTGTAAACATTTGATTTGTGCCCTATCATATGGTCAATCTTTGAAAAGCTTCCATGAGAGAGTGAGAAAATGTGTATTTTGTGGTTTTAGGATAGAAAATTCTATAGATGTCTGTCAAGTCCATTCGATTTATGGTATCATTTACGTCCTGTATCTCTTTGCTTATTCTTTGTCTAGAAGATCTAGATCTCTCTAAAAGAAGTAATGGGGTGCTAAGATCCCCAATGATTATAGTGTTGCAACCTCTCTCTCCTTTTAGATCTAGCAGTCTTTCTTTACATTATATATGTATATACACATTATATAATGTGTATATATATATATATATACACATTTTGTCTTCTTGATGAATTAGTCCCTTTACTACTATATAATGCTCTTCTTTGTCTCTTACAGTTTTTGTCTTAAAGCCTATGATGTCTGAAATCAGTATCACAACTCCGGCCCTTTTTGATTTCCATTTGCATGGAATACCTTTTTTCCAGCCTTTCACTTTTGTTAATTGAAAATATTTTTTATCTTTTCTTCCCATATGAAGGGTAATCTTGGTGGATATTGTAATCTTGGTTGAAATTGGTTTTCGTTTAACCCTTTAAATATATTTCCCCATTCTTTTCTTGCATGCATTTTTTCCAATGTTATTAACCTGATGGGACAACCTTCGTAAGTAAGTTGATATTTCTCTATTGCCAATTTTAGTATCTTGTCTTTGTCTGTTGTTTTCACCAATCTAGCTATGATGTACCTTGGAGAAGATCTTCTTGGGTTGATTTTATTTGAGGCACTTGTATTTCTTGGGTATGGATATTGGAATTCCTAAGTTCAGAAAGTTTCCTTCCAAAATTTCATGAAACAGATTATCAATGCCCTTATTAATTTCTTCACCTTCTGAGATACCAATTATCTGGATATTTGGGCACTTAATGATATCTAGTGTTTCTCATAGATTGTTCTCATTCTTCTTGGCTATTTTCTTAGGGTTTTTTTTTTTTTTAATTCTTCTGGGCCAGAGGTTTTATCTTCTACCTCCAAGATTTGATCTTCTGAGTGGTCTAGTCATCTTTTAATGATTTCTAGGGAGATTTCAATTCCCTGAATTACAGTCTTCATCCCTAACAATTCCATTTGTTTGCTTTTATGCTGTCTATTTTTTCCTTCATTTTTTTTTGAGAGGTTTTTGTTATAGGGCGTGTGTGCTTGCCAGACAGACAGAGAGAGACAGAGAGACAGAAAGCAAGAAATCACCCACCAGGGGAGATGTTCATGCCACAATCCTTTCTCCTCCATTCTCTTCTCAGGATCTTGGGCACACACGCACAAGCACCTGGCTTGAATTTAAGCCACTGGGTCGGAGACTCGAACCGCAGTTGCCTACTTGGGAGTCCAGCGACACAGCCATTACGCTAACTGCTGATCCCTATTTTTTCCTTCAAATCATGAAAGGACTTCTTCATCTCCTGGAGCTTGTTATCTCTTTTCTCTTGAATCTCATTTAAGTTTTTGTTTTTGTTTTTGTTTTTAAATAGAAGTTTTCGCTATAGGTCGCGTGCGCTTGCTAGACAGAGAGAGCCATAGAGACAGAAAGTGAGAAATCATCCCCCAGGGGGGATGGTCATGCCACAATCCCTTCTCCTCCATTCTCCTCTCGGGATCTTGGGCACGCATGCACACGCGCCTGGCGTGAGTTCTAAACCACCGGGTCCGGGACATGAACCACGGTCGACTACATGGGAACCCAGTGACATAGCCATTATGCTAACTGCTGGTTCCCGAATCTCATTTGGTTTTGTCACTATAAATATTCTGAATTGTTTATCTGACATTTGCATGAGTACCATTGTATTGTCTATGGATGATGAGGAATTGATATTTCCCCTGGGAGGAGAGATATTTTCTTGGTTTCTCTTTTTTCTTGTGCCTCTGTGGTAGTTTCTAGTCATCAAGTGAGTTACACATTTCTTCCTAAATTTTTCAAGTTAATTCTGAGTGTTCAAAGGCAAGCAGGAGGAGATGATTAGTGATCTGTCTTCTGCTCTAACTCCCTGATGCTTACCCAGCAACCTCCATTGTTGTCTCTGGACTTGGATAATTCAAAGTCTTCCCAGTTTCTAGAGAATAGGTATACCTGGGGCTGAGCTGGGAGCTTCAGTTGAAGAATAGAGAAGGGGTCACTTCAGGAAATGCTAAAGTATGAGAATTCAGAGGCATGTGGTTGGGGATGAGCCACAGTTTCTATGCAGCTCAGTGTTTCCGCCACTGAGTGCAGGCAAGGCCAGATGGCATAGGGAGTCGGGAAAGACAGGCTTCTCCCAAGTCCAAATGAACACACCTGAGAGTTCAAAGGTGTGTAGGGGAGGGGATGAGCCACATGCTCTGTAGCACAACCTTCCAGCCACCACTGGCTCAGCATGCCTCACGGTCGTCACTGGGATGAATATCCCATTGGTGCAGTGAACAGGGAAAGATGGGCTTCTCCATCACAGTTTACACACCTGAGAGTTCAAAGGTATATGGGGGAAGGGATGAGCCATGCTCCACAGCTCAACCTTCCAGCCACCAATGGCTCACTGTGTAGCAAAACTGTTGCTGGGGCAGGTGTTCAGATGGCACAGAGAGCAGGAAAAGATAGACTTCTCTAAATCTTAATTAACACACCTAAGAGTTCAAAGATAACTGATGAAGGGGATGAACCATGCTCTGCAGCACAACCTCCCAGCTGCCAATGGCTCACCATGCAGCAAGGCTGTTGCTGGGGTGGATGTCCCAATGGTGTGCGGAATGGGGAAAGAAGGGCTTCTCCAAACCTACTTTTCATTTTAAATGCCCACCAAAAAGACTCAGATTAGATATTTCAAAAATAATTAACTGATTATGATTAGAAGTGGCAAAAAATAAAGTAATTTTCACTTTCCGTTTTATACTTTCATCCTTTTTTCTCCATGGATATCCTTGAAAGGGAGTTTCGAACCTTGGTAATTGAGATGGTGATGGCCACGGATATGTCTTGTCATTTCCAACAAATCAAAGCCATGAAGACTGCTCTACAGCAGCCAGAAGCGTAAGTGGATCTGTGACATTGTGTTTTCATAGATGTTTGACCTGGTGTTTGTCTATTTTGCACCTATAAAGTATATCTTCTTCAATATGGCTGCATTGATTGATCTCATAAAGTGCTGATGCTTGAAGGAGAAAGCATGAAAATTGTGCATATTCCAGTTAGTTATATTCTCATCAAGATTGAAAGAAAAAATAGACCCTGTAGCAGTTTGCCCCAATTAGAATTTAAAATATTCACCTATGGGAAACTAATTTGTCAAAGATCCACTTAGTGCAGAGGTAGCAGGAAAAAAAGTAAGTGACTCTTGGACCCTTGTTATTTTTTAGAATGATGAATCATTTCAGAAATTAGTTTGAATCAAATGTGTCCAATTCAATAAAAGTGGAGTGTAAGTTGATGAATATCCCAGTTCTAGGATTAAATGATGCCTTTTCTCAATCCAACTGAAATGGGGTTTGAGACAAGAGAATGAAAGGGATTTTTTAAATTATTGATTTTTAAAACTCTCATTGAACAGCATGGTTATCGTGTGTTTTGGTGCTTTGGGTTTACAGAATTGAAAAGCCAAAAGCCTTATCCCTGATGCTGCATACAGCAGATATCAGCCACCCAGCAAAAGCATGGGACCTCCATCACCGCTGGACAATGTCACTCCTAGAGGAGTTCTTCAGACAGGTACCTTGCTGCTCTGCTGTCCTTGGGACTGCCATGTCTGGGTAGTTTATGAATTTTATATTTCAACAATGCTCTGATAATGACAAATTTTCTTTGAGGAGGGAGTATTTCACCCTTTTTTTTTTTTTTTTTTTGCTTTATGGTCATGTAATTGTCAATGGAAGTAACCAACTCTGTAAAAATAATCATTAATGTGATTTCTAAGCAGAATATGAGTAACCTAGGCCAGGAGAGGAGACAAAACATGCATTTATCTCTGGGTGATCAGGTACGGGGGTTCCTTTTATTTGATTGTGAGAGCGAGAGACAGAGTTTGGAATTTAGTGAAGAGTTTTTCCATTGGTCTGGACCAAAAAGGCAGGACATGTGGAAGTGGTGCTTGTAGGTTATAATTGGGTTTACAATTTCAAAGTTGGTGATTGGAAAAAAAAAAAGTTTGCTGAGATCCAAAAATAATATACTTTAACTGGTATAAGAAGGCTCTATAGGGGCTGGCAGGTGGTGTGGTGGTTAGTGGCGCTGGACTCCAACATGGCCGATTGAGTCCGGACCTGGCGGCTTGCTTTCTCACTTTCCCTCTTTCTTTTACTCTCTTTCTATTTCTCTCTGGTCAAATTATAATAAATAAATAAAGTTAAATCAAATAATTCTTTTTTTTTATAAAAAAAGAAGACTTAATGCACATTACAAAGATACTATGCCAGGGGAAGGATGTAAGAAGAATCCTGTTACCAATGGGTTAAAATGACCTGTTAATGTTTGTGGGTGTGACTCCCTCCAGGCCCTCTGGAAAATATTTTGGAAAATAAGAAAAAGCAGGCAGATCTACGTCCTCATAATGTTTGAATCTCACCTAAATTCTGATTCTCAGGATATGGTATTTCTATCCGCTGCATTTCTGTATGGAAAAAAGAAAAGGTATTTCCTTATAGCAGTCCTTTGTTAAAATGTAGTTTGAAGAGCCTTTTTATTTTATTTTTTGCTAATGAGTTAACAAAATGGTGGTTATTTTAGCATCACCCTATGGGATTCTTATATTAATCATTAACTCATGTCTCTGTTTTTTATTAGTTGGGTTGTTTCTTTAGAGTAAACAGCTAATGATGTAAAGTTCCCACTGCAGGTGGAAATCACTAGAAACTACTGTTTCAATTATGTTTAAACTTAACTACATTCTAAGATCTAGAGTTGTATTGACTATAAAAATACAAAATCTTCACTAGCATACGTTTCATTAAGACAAAAATATGTGCAGAACCAAGACTGAAATCTTCTCAAGTTCAGGCATGTGACTAACCTCATCTCTAGAAAAGTCGCTTTAAACATCTTTTTGGAGACATGAGAGCTGAAGTTTGAAAGCATGATATATAGATCGTGGGGCTTAAATTATACCAATTCAAGTTAATTCAGTTAATTCTTGTTAATCCAAGAATGGAGGTATATAGATTCAGAAATTACTAAGATTTAATAAAACACTACTTACTGCTTTTTAAAATTTGTCAGGGGCTTGTGTACTGGCTAGAGAGAGACAGAGCAGAGAGGGAGAGGAATAAAGCACTCCTAAGTGGGATGTGGTCATGCCGCAATCCTTTCCCCTCCATTTTCCATCCTGTTGGGATTTGGGTCACACATCTACCTGCACATGGAATTCTTTTTTTTTTTTGAGAGGTTTTTGCTATAGGGCGTGTATGCTTACCAGAAAGACACAGCAAGAAATCATGGTTGACTACGTGGGAGTCCAGCAACATAGCCATTATGCCATCTGCTGGTCCCAACATCTGGAATATTCCTAAGCTTCTGGGTCTGTGACTCAAACCACATAGTCAGCCATGTAGAATCCAACTCCCTTAACTACCAATCCATAGGGTGCCCCCAAAGCACTCTTTATTAATACCAGTCTCATCTTCATCTCAACTGACAAGAGATAGACTCTTCTGTTGGTTACTTAGAGTTTTGGAAGTGAATTATTCTTGTGATTATTCTTACTCTTAGGATTCTTTGGATTATCAGAAAAGTCTTGATGTATTTTTTCTGTTTCTATGTAAAAATGCATCATAACTTTTTTGACAATTCAGTAGATTGAATGGAAAAACTGTAGAAGGCATCTCTGTGTGTATTTTATTTTCCTCCTGAAGTTGAACATACTATCTCATACTAAAGTAGTACTAGAGTTAATAGCATATTAAATAAAAGTTAGAAGTTCCTCTGTTGGAAATGTTATTCCAACTAGTTTGGAACAAGCTAGCCTAGAACTAATCAAATTACCCCCTAATTTCCTATTATCTTATCTATTATTGGGGGGGGTGGGTAGAGGTAAGAATATCCTGTTATTTCTTTCACTCTCACTATGGGCATCCATTAAAACATGCACAAACATGTACCTCCTAGCTGTTAATGTGAATAAATCAGTAGGGACCCTACTTAGCACATGGTTATTTCTCTTTGCAAATTTTTTCCAGAGTTATTCTGTAAAAGAACTCAGTGATGTGGAAGAAACTAGAGTTGTACAGGTGTGGCTTTGTTGTGTATACAAAAGTATTTCTGTGAATTCATCTTTCATTGATGACTTATTTTATGTCTTTTTTTTTCCAAAAGTCATTTTTCTAATAGCAGTTAGATATTCTACAAATATCCATTTCCCTTGTCAATACTTTCTTTGATATTATTTTTGTAGCAATAGCTCCTACCTCTGGGAATATTCATTTTGTGGCCAAATAAGAGATCACAACTCAAATAAGTTTGAGATATGAAAGTGATTCTTTTTTTCCCTTAAAGTATGAGAGGGTGTATGTGAGTCACTTAAATATGAGAACATTTTTTTCTCATAAGGAAACCTTGTTTGCATACACATATGCTCCAATTGAAAGAAAATGTGCTTGAGGCAACCTGAAAATAATCATATTGGATTTCTTTTCTTTGGGGAATGGCATGTTAGCTCACTAGACTGGAACTACTTTTTAGTAATTATAATTCAGTAAATTATTTTTATTGACTTAGTTCCTTATCCTGGAGGCCTCAAGCCATAGTAAGTAGTAACTCATGTTAGAGAAATGTTACTTTTGTTCTTAACCATAGATTTTAAATTGGACAGTTCAAATGGGAAGTCTCAATGGGACTACAGAGACTTTTTAAAAATTACATTTGGAAAGTAGACCTATGTTTCAAAACAGGGCATAGCCTCCGGACAGGTGGACTAGACTTTCAGTACTTTGCTAACAGTGTAAATCACTACATCTTCAATTATAAAACTTTTTTTTTTCAAAATCAAAACCACTGCTTCAAGGTGCTTTTCAATACAATATTGAATTTAGAGAAGTATGGGTCTGCCTCCTTGGTTAAATACATCTTGTATTAGAAGTCTTAAGGTTCAATTTCTTTGTATTTAGTACCTCTTTGTATTTTGAAAATATCTCTTACAATTCTTTTCATTTCCTCTGTCCCTAGTTATTTTCCCATTTTTATTTATTTTTCTGTTGTTTTGTTTTATTTTTTCTCTTTTTTCTCTATGAAATTACCTAGTTGTTTTGTAATGACTTATTTGTTATTTTCATTTCTATTAATTCTTCTGAGTTAATTTTGTCCTTTTACTGACTCTGAATTGGATGATCAATTCATTTATTTTCATTCTTGTTTACAATTAGAAAAATATAAAGCCAGTAGTTTGTCTTTTTCTTATCATAAATCTCATAGGTTCTGATGTATATTATGTTCATAATCACTCTTTACTAAAAACACTGTAATTTTGAATTAGATTTCTCTTTTATCCAAGAGTTGCTGGAGATAGAAAAATTTGTTTCATGGGACCAGCAGTTAGTGTAATGGCTATGTCGCTGGACTCCCACGTAGTCGACCACGGTTCGCGTCCCGGACCCGGTGGCTTGACACTCACACGGGGCACGTGTGGGTGCGTGCCCAAGATCCCGAGAGGAGAATGGAGGAGAAGGGATTGTGGCGTGGCCATCTCCCCCAGGGGATGATTTCTCGCTTTCTGTCTCTCTCTGTCTGTCTGGCTAGCGCACACGCCCTATAGCAAAAACCTCTAAAAAAAAAAAAAAAGGAAAAGAAAAATTTGTTTCTGCATTTGTAAATTATGAGTAGTGGATTTTTTGCTTAATAGCTTTATGATTAATTTGTGTTTTTTAAAATTTAATCAAATAATTTTTTCATTGTTCAGACTTTATTTTGAAATTTATGTATTACCTACCATAAATCAACCTTTGTGAATGTTTAAAAGCTCATGAAAAGTAAATTTATGTCTTACTTGCAGAGCATAGAAGTAAAAGACAAGGTATATCTACCTTCTTAAGTCTTTTAAGAATTTTTTTTTCTTTAGGTTTTTGGCATAAGGTGCATGTGCTCACCAAAGAGAGACAGAGAGAGGGAAAGTAAGAAATCACCTCTCAGGAGGAACGGCCATGACACAATACAATGTCCTCATGGGATCTGGTATGATTTCTAAGCCACTGGGTCTGGGACTTGAACCACAGCTGGCCATGTGGGAGTCCATGGCTTAAACATCATGCCACCTGCAGACCCCATTATGTGTAATTTTTAAAATTTGAACTAACGTGAGCTGACAGGAGTTTTTATTGTTTTCTATTTTTATATAGTACAATTTTTGCTTCATAAATGCTGGTACTATGCCATTTGGTTCTTGAATATTTATAACTGTTATACCATAATAGTTTATTGTATCCTTTATCATTACAAAGCTAAATTCTTTGTCTTATTTAATGCTTTTCCTAGAATTCAAATTGGATTCATATTAAGAATATGACCCTGTCTTTATACAACTTTTTAATTTAAACCTTTCAGAGATGCTGTAGTTTGGGAATGTCTTAAATAATATATATAACTGAGATTTTTTTTTTAATGAGTCAATATAAGATTCTTCTATTTTTTGAATTGAGCCATAGTAACATTTATTAAAATAACAGAAATGTTTGATCTTAGTTGCTATCATAGTTTGTATTATGCTCACTAGGTTTGTATGTGTATGT